GCTTTTACTGCTGCCAAGCGGGCAGTCAAGGCTGTACAGGCCTTGCATGTTATGAACTCAGTCAAGGCCCTGTGTGCTAGATGTTCATGTAACCAAAGATGGTTATGCATGGGGTCTTTTGCAGTGGCTTGAATGGACATGCCAACCTATTGGATTCTGGTCACAGCTATGGGAAGGAGCAGAGGTCCGGTACACCTTGATAGAGAAGTAATTGGTTGCTGTGTACTACACCTTGCTGGCTATGGAGCCCATTGTTGGACCAGCTCCAACTAAGATAATAGCCATCTATCCCATCACGGGGTGAGTGAGAGACTAGACCCAAAGGCCATGGAGTGGCGTGGCACAGATGCCTACACTGGCCAAATGGGGCACATATTTACAGCAGTGTAGTGCCCTCTCTACTAGCCCAAAGTAGAGAACTCCAATGCTTATTGGGGCCAGTGACCTATACCAGTGGAAAGCAGGAAGAACTTGCTTTTCAGCCCTTGGTAGCCAAGACTCCTTATCAGGAGGGAAAATGCTATACCTGAAGATGCTTGGTACACAGACGGCTCCAGTCGTGGGCAGCCCCTGAAGTGGAGGGCTGTGGCTTTCCATCCTAAGACTGAGACAATATGGATGGAGGATGGAGAGGGGAAGAGCAGCCAATGGCCTGAGTTGCAGGCAGTGTGGGTTGTGATCACCCAGGAGCCTTCCCCTATAGTTGTCTGCACTGACAGCTGGGCTGTCTGTTGGGCTTTGATTCTGTGGCTACCGACATGGTATCACGCCAACTGGATGGTTGGTCACTGGCCCCTTTGGGGACAAGAGTTGTGGCAAGTGTAAGACTGTTACTGTATGTCATGTGGCTGGCCATTTGCCTTTGGCCTCCCCGGGGAATGATGAAGCAGACACATCGGCCCAGCTGCACTGGCTGGAAGGAAAGCCTGCCTCTGATAGGGCCCAATGGCCACACCAGCATTTGTTGCATGCAGGGCAAAAACCAATGTGGGCCAAAGCCCATCAGTGGAGCTTTCCATTGACCTTTGAAGAAGTCAGCAGAGCTTGGAAGGAGTGCCTTGTGTGCTTTAAGAGGGACTTATACTGAGTCCCACAGCAACATCAGACAATAATAGTAAGGGAGCCAATACCCCTTGTCAGGTGGCAAGTAGACTATATTGGGCCTCTGCCCATATCAGAAGGATATCGGTATGCCATGACTTGTGTGAAGATGGCTACTGGACTATTGGTTGCTTTTCCTGCACATTGTGCAGCTCAGCAAACTACCAAGAGGGGCCTGGAGCATCTCTTTATGGCCTATGGCCCACCGCAGGTGACTGAGAGCGATCAAGGCACCCACTTTATTGGACGTGCATTACAAGGATGGGTGCAGCAATTAGGAATAAAGTGGAAATTTCATGACCCATATAATCCTACTGGGGCAGGAATGATAGAGAGGTACAATGGTTTGTTGAAATCTGGCCTGAAGTCAGACACCAATAGTCCATGGGCTGGTCAGTCAGTTCACTTACGAACAGTGCTACAGTGTTTGTATGAGAAGCCCCGAAAAGGAGCCTTGAGCCCTGTGGATGTGCTGGCACACATTGCTGTCTCTTCTATACAACAGTGTGTGCAAACCAAAGAGGAGTTACTGAAGCCAGGATATGGCCAGCAGAGCAACATCCTGCTGCCAGCCCCTACTGCATTCAAACCTGGAAACACTGTTGAGTGGACATGGCCCTGGACATTTAAATACATGGATTAGTGAAGGCTGGCCTTTCTGGCACCTTGGGGGAAAGGCCTGGAAGGTGCCCTCATGTGTATTCCTGAAGTAATGGCAGAGTGGCCCTTAAATATTATGGTAGTGTATCCAAAATGTCCAGGAGGAAAGACATCTTACAAAAGGGA